GGGTTCGGCTGCGGTTGGGGTGCGCGAGGAGCTTTAGGGGGGGCATGCTTGCGGTGTCTCGGGGTTAGGGTTTGGGGTGGGGTGTCCAGTGGGTTGGTTTGGGGTTGGGGTTGGGGTTGGGTCATTGGTTACCAGGTGGTGGTTGGTGGTTTTATAGGATCGGGGTGGGGGTAGTTAGGGCTGGAGGGTTTCGACTACGAGATCGGGGTCCTTTGTATGGGTTATCTTTGTGGGAGTGGGTTGATTGTGGTGAGCTGGGGCTTCCCGGTTGACTTTGGGGACTCAATGAGACGGCGGAATTGAGGGTCTTTGTTGCGTTCGGGGGGTCTCGGCTGGGATGTGGTATATAAATCAGCTCGATGGTTGGCATTTGAGGGCGGGTGTCAACATCACCGTTTGATACGTGCAGAACAGTACATTTTTCAGCTGGAGAGATCGGACTTGTACATCGCAACCCGACTTAATCAAACAGCTGAAGCCCAATGGACCACCACGATTCAACCTTCCATGGCCTCCCCCGCCCCGCCCCCGGCGACACCGACCTCGGCGCGGTCGACATCCACGACATCGACAAGATCCTCCTCCTGCACGTGCTCTACAACAACGCCCGCCTGACCAGCCCCAGCTCCCGGCCCTTCGACTCCCACCTCGCCCGCCTGGTCATGGCCGCCCCCATCCTCACCACCGACCTCCCCGACGTCCGCTCCTGGCTGTCCATCTCTACCTTCTGCGGCCGCGTCCTCGGCGTCGCCTTCACCCGGACCACCGCCCAGGGCTGGATCTACGATCAGCTGAATGGGGCGGGCGCGTTCGAGCGCTCGGTGCGCCGCGCGAGGCAGTTGACGGGTGAGTCGGCTGGGGGGCTCGGGGCTGCGGTGCCAGATGGGGAGAGGGAGTTGGCGGGGACGCCGCCGCCGCCGTATAGTGAGAGGGAGAACTGAGATTTTTGGGCTCGGTGAGATAATTTGAATGGAAATTGCTCCTGATGGAGTTTTTGAATCGATGATATACAGGGCATTGTTGGAGTTGTAGTGTTTTTTCTTTTTTCCTTTTTTTTGGGTCATGCTCGTATGTTCTTTGGTTGATCGGTGTTATTTGCTTGCTTGCTTGCTTGCTTGCTTAGGGTTCTCGGGGAGACGGAGTCCGTTGGTCTGTTGTACGAGAGGGATTGATCCGGATTTCTGAATGTTTACTCTAGTTGAGCACTGGGAGTTTGTTCCTCACTCGCAGGTTTTCTATATTCTCTTTGCAGGTATGATTGCCATGCAGGGTATAGGATTGCTGATTGGGAGATTTCTCTTAGACGAGATATACAGTCGGTCTTGACTGGGACTCCGACTTAAGCGGGGCCCAAACTCCAGATTGACTGTTCCCGTGCGATGCGCAAACTTGCTGCCGGCAGGTCTTGGTGGCATCCCCGGGCGCTGAGCATACTGCTGGAGGCAGGCGCCGACACCGGGCTCTTGCACAAAGACAAAACGCCTTATCAAATAGAATTTGACGAAGAAGAGAACTGCGCCCGTTTCCTCAGCTTGTGGTATGATGAGGGGCTTGATGTCCTGCTCAGGTATGAAGCAGATGTTGAATGAAGGTCTGCCACTTCAGGCCGCTCTCCGCGCTAATCGGGACCTATCGGTCATTCAAAGACTACTAGACCACGGGGCGGACCCATCCGTTGGGAACCCACCGGCAATAGCTTGCGCGATACAAGCAGGGAGTGTCTCTGCGGTAAAGCTGCTTCTGAAGGCGGGTGTCGACCCGAATGTCGTGTATACATCGAAGCATGAACACCGGGGAGAGCGAACTGAAACCCCGCTCATAGAAGCATCGGGGAAGAGTGAAGAACTCATGGCTGTTCTGCTTGCTCATGGCGCGGATTCGCATCAGGCCCTGGAGAAAGGGACATCTGCACTGCACGAGATCTGTACCCGGCACGGACTCGTGACACCCATCATTGCCGCAGGCCACGACCTCGAAAGAAGAGCTGCCCAGGGTTAGACGCCGCTATTGCGAGCCTGCGAACAACGCGGGAAAAGCAAGAATGCAGGCCTCCATGAGGATGACCGTGAACACACCGCACTCGCGCTCATCCGGGCTGGGGCGAACATCCACGTCGCCGACAATCCCGGCTCCACGGCCCTGCACTATGCCGTGCTGAACAATTTGCGCGAGGTCGTCGAGGAGCTTCTTGCCAGAGGAGCCTCGACGGTCGCGCATAACACACATGGAGTAAGCCCGCTGCATGTAGCACTCGCCGAGTCCATCGATCGCTCAGTGGACGAGGATGCCATGCCTTCTCTGCGGTTCAAATGGAACCTGGAACGCCTCGGGGCGGCGGGAGCAAACGCAACGGAGCCCTTCCCGGACGGCAGAACCGCCCCGCACTTGATAGCCCCGGTCCTGATGCAATGCACCGCTAAGGACATAGAAGAACGCGCCATTTCCACGGGTTCTGATGAAAAGGACAAAGACCTGTACCCGGCGTGTTTGGCGCTGTATCAGCTGTTTCTTGACAAGGGCTGCAGTCGCGAAGCCCGCGACAATCAAGGCAACACGCCCATCTTTGCCTACGTCAACCAGCTGCGGGTGTACCATATGGATGAGTATACCGCGTCTCCGCCGGAGGAGTCTGAATTGCGGCGTATGTTCGCGGAGCATGATATCCATGCGGTGAACGGCAACGGGGATACCTTACTGCATGTAGTTGCGCGCCGCAAAGATGACCCGATTGATGTGCCGTACGACGACGAGGGGAATCTTTTCGCGTTGCTGGTGGAGCTGGGGCTGGATCCGACTCGAGAGAACAAGGACGGGGTGACGGCGTGGGATGTGGCCGCTGCTTGTGATAAATGGTCCATTTTAGATTCGACGAGGAATGAGTGATTCGCTTGCTCGTGCCTTCTCGGAAGGAGATTTGCTTTGCATTCTTCGATTCACCCTCGATAAGTGCTTGCTTGAGGGCCGGTGTCCATGCAAAGAGACTAAATCTGTACTCCAACATCACGAGCACAGAACCTAACGAGTAAAAGTCACACCACTCCCGCTGCGAGCCTCGTGCAGATTCTCGAGGTCCCCCTTTCTATATATCCCCACTCTCTCGCGGGTGTGTTCGCAGTGCGTTCTGAGACATAGTCGATACCGCGTCGCCACCCTCCATGATGTGTCTGTCTGTTACGGTTTGCCGGAAGACCGGTGGGATCTCCCGGTCGTCTCTTGTGTTGATCTTCTCGAAGGCCAATACAGTTCCGACCGGCTGATTGACGTGACGCAAGCTGGACGCCTGTTTCGACAGCACTGGCGGCGCCGGTTCGGCAGTAGTAGTCGCGAGATCGGATCCGCACTCCAGGAATGGACATATTGGCTGCGGCTCGACACGTGCCATGCGCGGCTGCGGTCGACCGTGGCGTTTCTGTGCTGGGACCCGCACGCCCGCATCGCCGAGCCGGGGGTGTACTGCTACGGGTGCACGAGGTACTGGGAGACATTCCGCGACAAGATCAAGCGCCACCCGAGAAAGCGGCCGAAGTACTCCTATGCCTGGAATGCGGCGTCCCCAGGTAGCAAGGGGGTGGATCGCGCGTTCCGGGTCCCGGATCTCCCACGGCACTTTTCGACGTGTCCGCACGTCGTGCGGAGGCTTAGGAGGGGGGAGGATCACGCCGCGTTGAGGTTTGGTGAATCGGTGGGGGGGATCTTTCGGGTGGACGCTGCTGGGGAGAGGGGTGCTGAACGGGCTGCGCAGGTGGGTAAGAAGTAGGGTTGGTTGGAGTTGCGGGTGTTGGATTTGTTGCTGATTGTTGCTTTCTACCTGGCGACGGTATTAGATGCGGGCAGCTGCTTGTGGGAACCTTGAAAGATACTGCTCTGATGTTTTTCTTTTTACTGCGAGGGATTGCCTAATGTAGAAGTAGAAGAAGAGTTGAAGCTTTTGTCTTTCCATTCTCGCAATCCAGAATTGAGTATCTTGCCGGAAATCCATGAATCAAGATTAAGCACTATCCCCAACACCATCTACACCATCTACACCATCATGTAACTAGTATCGTACAGTACAATCAAATCACCGCGGCCGCAAACCCGCACAGCCCGCCAACAAGCGGCAACAGACTCCGCACCGCATTCAGCACCGCCCACCGCTTCAGCAACCCGCTGGTCTTTTCCCCCTCCGCCTCCCCTTCCCCATCCTCCACCACCCGCAGAATCTGCCAATCCGTCCTCCGCATTACCACCGCCGTGTACGGCACCACCCCCACCGTCAACACCGCCGCCGCCGCATACCACCGCCCCGGACTGGCATAGCGACTACTACTGCTGCTACTGAGGAACTGCAGCAGCTGCGGCGGCTCGACGGCCCGCGCCACCGTCCAAGCGAGATAAACGAACGCGGCGGCCGTGCCCGCGGCGACCGGTGCGGTTTGGGCTGTGCTGGCGGTGGAGATTTGTTTCCAGATCTCCAGGGCTGTTGTCTGGTGGGTTGAGTCCGGGGCCGGGTCCAGGGCCGGGTCGCGTGCTAGCAAGGCGGGGATGGTGATTAGGCTCTGGGAGGCGATGGTGCCTTTGTTGGATTCGTTAGTCCATCGGCATGGGTTGGTTCATCGGGGTGGATGGGGGAAGAATGGATGGGTGGATGGGATTGGGATGAACGCACCGGATAGCCAGGCGGCGCCGGTGAAGCCGATGGCTTGGGCGGTGCGGTAGGCGAGGGGGCTGGTGGTCATTTTTGTTCGTCAGGGTGGTTAGAGGTGAGAGGGGAGGGGCTGTGGTTGGGAATTTGGTGTGGGATGGGGGATGTTTGGCAGTGGTTGGGTGGATGGGTGGACTGGGTTCTGTGCAGGAGGAGGGATGAATTGGGGGTTGCGCGTGGCTACGTCAGAAGAGAAGCTGTTTTATACGAGTACGGGGAGGTATGTTCGTAGGGCTGATGTAAAAGTCATAGGGCTGATGCGGGGGTGCAGTGGGGAGGCCCGCTTTCCCGGGACGATGACGGCATGACTTGACTTCCGGGGATTGCTCTTGTCGGAGACGGGAGTATACGGAAAGCACTGGTGAAACAACTGCCAATATACTCTAAGCATCCATAGCCCCGGTGCTTCCCTGTCCCTCAGTGGGAGTGGAACCGATGCAAGAGCTATCCGCAGGCCATAAGGCAAGGAGGTGCCATGAATTCGGAATAGTTCTAGCTGGACCTTGACTTGCCTTTCAAATACTCAGTATCATGAGCATATGCAGCATTAATCACCAATCAACATGACCAACTCCTCATCCTTGTCTCAGTCATTTCCCCAAGAGTATACTTCTTCGACCCTGGACACCCTCATCACCACCCGCCCATGCTCAAGCACCCGACACTCCCCCACGCTCAACATCGGCACCCGCGCAAACAGCGCCATCCACTGCTCCACCGTCCGGAACGCGGTCCCCCGGCACGCGATCAGATGCAACGCCAAACAATTCCCCTGCGGCGAGCCGAACCGCCCATCCCCGGGGTCGAAGAAGTCGTCCACCAGCAGGGTCGAGCGGGCGTCCATGGCCTCAGCCAGATGCGCCAGGATCTTCTGGCTCTCCCTGTACCAACCCAGTACCTTAGCACAATCCCATATCCCAAGAAGAAGATTACCAGGAAAACCCACCGATCAGGATGATCCATCAGGATATGGCTGAGCAGATACACCGCCGCCCCACGGACGGGCTGCTCACCGAAGAAATCATGCTTGGTCCAGCTCACCCGCTCACGGAGTCGGGGGTCGGGAGCGATGCTGGACGTGCTGCTCGGGGCTTTGTCCGCGTAGTCCTGCACGATGAAGCGCATGCGCGGGTATCTCTGCGCCAGACGCAGGGAGTGATGGCCGCGACCGCCGCCGACGTCGACGACCAGCGCATCTTCCGGGCAGAGGGCGCGGAGGTCGATGATCTCTTCGAGGGGCGTGGGCGCGTTCAGGCGGAAGTAGCCCTCCATTGCGGTGTCGAAGCGCTGGCCGCGCCGCGGGTCGGTTTGGTGGTAGTAGTCGTAGCAGGGGGTGTTTGCTGGGTTTTGTGGCAGGGTTAGTCGTTGCTTAGCCAGTCGCTTGAAAGGTTATGCAAGGTGTGGAGTTGGCGAAGCTTACTGTCAAAGGCCAGTTCGAAGGCGCTTCGGTGGCGCTCGTCTGGGATGTGGTACTTGTTCTGCGCGGCATACCGCGATAACCACGATGCGCAGCGCAGACCATCGTCCACCCTGTTCCATTCTGGTACATTAGAAACTCCCGGGCTAGTATACCACGAACCTCGACCAGGAGACTGACAGGTAATGAACCCAGTCCCGGATGTAGGGATCATGCAGAAGCTTGGTGCGCGGGTTGCGCTGGAAATGGCCGGGGACAGGCTCGTTCAGGAGACGGCTGGCGGCGCATTGTCTCAGGGCGCAGCCTGTAGATTCTGTTAGTGGGGAATGGTCAAGGACCGGTGTCAACTCACGAAACAGCGCAGGGGTGGCGTCGTCGCCAACGCCCTTGAGAAGGGTCGAAGCAGGCACCGGCTCGGCCGTCTCGCACAGCCGCGTGATGATGTCCGTCTCCAGCAGGATCGCCAGCGCGGCGGCCGTGTGCGACGACGCCGCCGTCTGCGACAGCCACACCTCCGGGGCCGTGGTGGACACGGCCAGTTCCTCGCACGCAGCGCTCAGGGCTGCCCGCGCGGTGATGGTATCCCCGCCCTCCTTCGCGGTGACTGCGTGTCGCTGGGCTAGCGCCATGATGCGGTTCGCAATGGACACGATGTTGTCGGCTTGGTGTTGCTGTGCTTGGCTGGCCATGGGGTTATTGTTGTTGGTGGTGGTTGCTGAAGCTGTTGTAGTTGTTGGCTGGGAGCTGTCTCCAGGAGCAGATGCTGTGGACTATTGTCGGAAGACTAAGATGCTAAGTCCTGGGGGTTTCTCCGACTCTGATATCCTCCGGAGTCTGATCGTCAATTACACCGTGGCTGAATTAGCTTTCTTTACCCATGGTATATCTTCCATGATTCAGGTCTGTCCTCAACCTAGTCCGATCTCCTGAGATGCTGCGAGCCCAGTTGCTCAGTTGAAGATCGGAGGCTTGATGAGTTGACTGTAAATGAAGTAATGCATTGCAGCAGCGATGATATCAGACTCAATGAGAGTATACAGAATTATCGCAGCGGAGTATATTGGACTAAGCTCCGCTCACATGAGCTATCAACTTAGGAACTCAAGACTGAAGAGCTCAGGCTGTGAGATTGACCTTCTAGTCAACGATGCAGTCGACAATAGAATAGACAAGTTGAATACTCCATAGCCCATCTTTGTCTATGTGTGGACCAACTCCTCTGCCCTCACAAAAGAAGAAAAAGATCAACAATAAATAAATAGTAATAGTATATACATCCCATCCACCCTTCTCTGTATCTTTCCTTGGCTAACACCCAACCATCCCTGGCACTCCCAATATTAATTAAGTATCCCTTCCACATCGACCATACCATAGCTCCATCTAAGAGACCCCCTCTTTCTCCTATCATGATAAATACATGTCTATCGTGAATCATTAGTCATATACACACTTCGGCGGTGTAACGCTATGCCTTGTTGTAGTGCTGCGCTGGGTCGCGGAGGGCAGGATCTGAAGTTAAACCTCCCCGATGAACTCAGATAACACCCCAAAGGAACCTAAGTCTAATTCCCGTTACCCATGATCAGAGACCGAGCTTGTTGTGGTTCGGTGCCCAGGACGGTGATGAGATATTCGATACTGTTGAAGCATGCGTTAGTCATGACACCACAAAATACGGGGTGGACCAATCCTACCTCGCCTCGGAGGCCAGTCGACGTTTCTCGCGAGAGAACTCCTGCTGGCAGACTTCCCAGACGGCCTCCCGCTCCGCCGGCAACACGGTCTTGATGCGGAATTTGAAAGCGGCGCTGACGGGCCGATGGTCGGACGCCCGCACCTCGTGACGACGGTACTCGAGCTGTCGAACCCGGCCGAGGCCGCGGTACAGAACCCGATCGCACCAGGCTGGGGCACGCTTCTTGTCACTTGAGTCGTACTCGTCTGTGCCGACGTCGTACTTGTACGTCGGGGCGAAGGTAATGGGGGACTCGTTGAAGGACCGAAGGCGGAAGCCAGGGTTCTTGCGCCGCGAAGCCAGCAGCTGGTCGCGCTCGAGGAGCTTCGTGAGGTTGTTGCTGCGGACCGCGTCGATGATCACATTACGTGGAATAGCGTCAATGCGGTAGTTCAGATCACCATTAAGAATGCAGATCTCATGGTCCATGATCATCGATCCGTCACCACCACTCACGTAGCGGTTTGCGCGTGCAGCGAGGCTAGGCTCGGCGGGAAGCGACTCTGCCTCGAGGATCGCCGCTATGTCGTTGTTACGGTGGGCTGTCTGCGTCTGGCCGGCTGCCAAATGGCAATTCACCAAGCAGATGGAGCTGTCGTCCAGCGTAAATCGGAAAAGAAGAGCACCCTACATCGTTAGTCATACTCCTAGATGCAGGTCCAGAAATGGCTTACCTTGTTGCCATGCAACCCTCCCATACCCCGCTTGATCTCAGATGCACTGATATCCGTGATTCTCTGCCGCTCCTTGTGTTTGACGAACACACACGTGAAGAGTCCGATCATGTTCGCACTATGCAACAGCACATACGATTCCTCCAGTGGCATGCAATCGTTGATGCACCGTGTCAGATGTTCCATCCACACCCGATACTGTCGACTCATGTGTTCCTTGTCCCCGCTGTCTTTCTTCTTGCTGCCCAGAAGAAGGCTCTCTGTAATTTAATCAGTACTGCCAAGACAACATATTGAAATCTAATCGAGGATGAAATGCACATACTAGCTGTGATCTTCTTGTTCTCCAGATCCACCAGCTCCTGGAAACCAAAGACGATAATCTCCGGGGGATTCTCAGGGTGAATGGCATCTTGGATGAACGATGACGTCCGCACACTGCCAGGTGTCGAAGCACCAGCATTCCAGGTGATAACTGCAGCATGGATCTCACGAAAGTTGCAAAACTCGACGTCTCTGGTTTGCATCCGGGTTTCTATACTCGGGTCAATGAAGGCCGTTAACAACTCCCCGAATCGCAACTTACCTAACCAATCATCCTCCAACATACCATCCCACAAACGAATGCAATTATCGTCACCCAGTGAAGTCACCTGGAGGCGGTTCATCGTCCACACACTGCTCGAATCCAACAAGAACCCGCTCACGGGGCTGTCGTGGGCACGCCAGTCCTTCTTAACTGTCCAGGGATTCGTGCTCGTATCGTAGACGTAGATCATGCCGGTTTTGTACGCTGCCCACAGATAGTCCCCTACTATCCCCAGGCAGTTGATCTTATAGACACTGACGTTCACGACGGCGAGACACGCGTAGTCTTTAGCAGAATAGACTGTCACCTTGCCATCCGAATGACCCAGATAGACAAGGCCGCCGTCTCGAGTAGTATATGCGCCAGACGTGACATCGCCAGTATGATGCGCGCCCAGCGGCCTGCTGAGTACTTTGAACGAAATATCATCCCGCGCATTGGGCCGGTACACATGTACCTCCTTACCCGCAGCCAGCCAGAGCTTATCGCCCACCACCATGGAGAAAGTATGTCCGCGGGCAACCCGATCGTAAGGGTTGTGGTAGCTGTATTGAAGGTTGGGAGTGCCGTTCTCATCCGGTGGCCAAACCAGTAGCCGGCCCTCATCATCAAGGGTCCACATCTCCTTCTTGTGACGAAGAATCTTGACGACTTCTTTCCTTGAAGGATACGAGCGCGATGCTACGATAGACCCGGTTGCAATGTCCACCTCATGTAACTCACCGGAATTCGTACCCAGCCATACGCGCTGGCCTTCATCTTCCAGTCCAACACCGGGCTTGAAGGCCAGCGACAAGCTTTTGACCGTTTCCCCATGACTGAGACTCATGAGTTGCTCGCCCGTTGTGAGATCCCACACTCGCGTGATATACCCGGTGGTGCACACGTGCTTTCCACACACATCCATGAGTCGTGTGTCATACCGTGTGTTGATTTCCATTGGGCCGGACTTGAGAAGTGGCGGGCGTCTGTTGGCAGTCGAAGCGTCCGGATAGTCATTACGCGCGACGGGAACGCTGTCCAGGTTCTGTTCATCCTCACTATGGACACGCACTGACTGCCGCTCCACCACAGGCCGGTCTGCAACAGGGCGCTCCACCACTGGTCTTTCCGGGACAGCCGGGGGTGGCCCCGGTCTGTTCTCTCGAGCGATAGACGGATGGCGTTGGACCGTTGTTGGAGTGGGGAGTTCGTCCCGACGCAATTGCCGCGATTCCCGGTTAGGCGTCGGAGGCGGCATGGAGAATGCCGGGCTGTCCAAGTACCGCGATTCCCGTTGTGGCGTCGGCGGTGGGATTGAATGCACCGAACTTTCTCGTTGAATGGACAATCGTGAGGGTGACGGACCACCTCTTCGCGCGATCGACGGCTGCCGTGGAGGCAGTCCCGGACGTTCTGAGAAACCGTCATGCATCGGTATCCGGTTCGCAGAAAGTGGCACGGCTGACAGAGGTTCTGCTGGAAGCGACGGTCTTGGAGGAATCTGCACTGATAATGGTCTAGTTTCGCGCGGAGGTTCCGGAACCGAGTGCCGTTGTGTGAATGAAGGCTCGCGGAACAGAGGAGGCTGGGGTGTAGAGGTTCGTTCTTCAAAGCGATAACGCGGGGGTTCTGCTGGCGGCTGCGAGGGTGACCGGCGAGAGGGGGAGCGCGCAAGCTGTATGCCGCTGGAAGTAGCCGGATTCTGCTTCGGGGAGTCTTTCTCAGGGCTACTTGGTGGGGTGCTGAATGGCGAGATGCGATCGTCCACGGGCGCACGCTCAGGCTGCGGAGTCGTGAGTGAGCCACCGCCACCATCGTGATGGGACAATGCAGCCGGTTTGACGGGAATCTTGGGCTTGTCCACCCGGTTCACCGGAGGTGGCAGGGATGCGCTCTTCCCATGGTGGTCCTGCGGGCTGTCGCGGCCACTGGTCATGGAGCCCGTAGGCCCCGGAGAGAGGCTCCCTACCTTTGGTTCTGTAGGAAAGCGCGACGTGACCGGGGTTGTCGGACGGCCTCCCTGCGGGATTGTAGGCAACGACTCCCTGGACGCGTTGAGAGGACTGCGGGGGAGCTGTACATGATCTTCATGCTCACCCAGCGGTCCGAATCCCCGTGGAGGAGATCGGGGAGAGTCAACTGTCAAGGTTGGAGGGAGCTGCGGCGACGAACGCAGGCTCAGAGACATCGGCCTATCCTGCCGCCGCCCAGGGGAGACCCCGGGGGTGCGTCCGGGTCGCGGGGGGATGCCATTGCCGTGCAAAGACCCGTGACTTCTGTTCAACTCGGGTGTGGAATCCCATGGCGTATGTGACCGAGACAGATCGAGGGAGGCTCGCGAAGACGAGCGGACGTCGTCGCCCGGTTCAAGTGTCCTTAGGAAGGAAGGGGTGTCGCGTGTACCATTCGTTGCGGCGGACGGAGCTCGGCGATGCGACAAGTTCTCGAAATGCGAAAGCAGAGAGGATACGGGTCTCTATTAAGATTTGGAGAGTTTAGCTTGGGTCCCCGCTGGAAACTCTGTATCTGGGACATACAATGTGGGCATTATCCGTGCCGTCCTTCTTCTGACTGTTTCCCTCCATGACAACCGATCCGACACAAAATCTGGGGGAGAGTATAGTTCATAGGCAGCCAATCGCGGTAGGCGATATAATGCTATCTGGAGGTGACCAGGCGAGGGCGCAGTAGAATTCGTAGACCGGTAATGGATAGGATAATAGAGGTGGCAGGGGAGGGCGATTGACTCTGTGACGATTGTGGCGGAGCTCCAGGCGGAAGGGAGTGGAGGAAGTGCGGAGGAACAGCAGGGGGGAAAGAGGAGGAGGGGGGGGATTCGAGGAAGGATGAGAACAAAACCCAGACGTGTGGTTGTGACTCGCCACAGACAATTCGGCGGAAAAGAGTATATGAGAGAGTGTGTATCTCGGAGGAAATTAAATTGATGGTGAAGGAATGGAGGGGAGGAGAGAAGCAGAGGAAGGAGGGAGAGTTCGAGAGAGTGGGGGGGAGGGGAGGGGAGAAGCACAACGGAAGACAACGACTCGAGGCAACCAAATAGAACGAATACCTCGGGTGGATCGACAAAGAAGAGGAAGGGAAAGGAGATGAGGACTCGACACTGCAAGACTAGGGTGTAGTCTCCAGTAGTGCACAGTGAACCACAAACAAGAGCTCGGGGTAGAGTAGAGTCGCGTCGAGTGAAGTTCGAAGAAGGAAGTACAGTAGTTGAAGTTGAGACGAATGCCTAGTCCATAGTAAGTAGAGGAAGAATGGCGGGCAGGCGGAATGACAGCCGGCGGTTTGGATCCGTCATTTATTGGCTTCTTTTTTTATTTTTAGCCTCCCTTCTCTGCCCCCTCCGCGTCTTCTACATTCGGCTTCATTATTCCGCCTCAGCTCCAGTTCCAACCGGCACGATCCAATATAGAAATAGAACAGTCCTTTACTTAGCATTTCAGCAACACCTCCACAACTCCAACTTCAAAGCCCAGACAGCCCTCACCGGGTCATCGACAATCAGAACAACCATGTGGTAAGGAAGCAGCCCGCAGGCCCGCAGCCCGCAGCCCGCAACCGCAAGTAATAACCTCATCTCTCGACCGACTATAGCAAACACGTCCTCAACGCTCAAGTGGCAATCCGATCCCCTTGCTGTAAGCCCCGATCATCTCGCTGCCTCACCCTCATTGCTTCATTCCGACTCTGAAACTAAGGAACCATGGGAAATCAACAGGCAAGAAATGGTTCGATTGCGCCGAATGCCACCAAGAGACCGAAAGACATCCCCTCCAGAAAGCCAGTGAGATGGTACATACAGCCCCTCCTCGCCTGGTGTTCACCTCTACACCGTTGACGATACATACACACACTACACCTTACACCCTACGTCCCCTCAATCCCTCGTACCCAAAACAAAGCACAAAGCACAAAGCACGCCCCAATCCCACACCACCACCACGAACACTCACTCCTCAACCCCCTACCCAACCAAACACTAACAACAACTGGGGGAAAACAGGTCTTCGCCTGCAAAAAATGCAAAAAATGCTTCCGCAAGGACACCGCCGAATTCGACGAGAGGTATGTCTGTCCTTTCATAAATCACCGGGTGTGGAAAAAAAAAAAAGAAAACACGTAACTCTAACGAATATCCTCGCAACCCAGTGACGAATACTGTCCCCACTGCGACAACCACTTCGTGATCGAGGCCGTGACGCCGACGCCGACGCTACACGTGGAAGGCGAGGATGCGCGGGTGGATTCGAGGTATGATTTTCCTTCTCTTATTCCGTGCTGTCACTTGTTCAGTCTTCCCTCCACCCTATAATCTCCCTTTCTTTTTTCCCCTTTCCTTCCTTTCCTTAGGAGGGCAGGTGGCTTTTTTTGGGCCCCACTCCAGTCGGAAATGAGATGGAGGGGAAAGGGGGGAAGGGGGATTGGTGGAAGACTGAAGCAACCCAAACAAAAAAAGCTTGATTGGATTTAAGCTAACGCATAATGCTTCACGTAGAATGCTCAAGGATGATCGGGTTCGTGGGCACCAGGAGAAATCTATCTTCAATTTCAAGGATATCTCGGATCGGTTGGGTTAGAAGTAGATTTCGCTTCTGCCTGTCTGGGCCCAAGGCAAAGCAGGGGTTTCTTTTTTTACGAAGATTTACGATTTCATGCTACATTTCTTTTCGTTCTTTTTTTGTTTATCTTAATTCGAATTGGTGTTGAGGGTGGGGTGTATACTTCTCTCGTCTTGTTTATACTTCCTTCCAACCTTATAGACTACACTACCGGAAGAAACAATCGACCTTTCATGACACAGTATTTCATTGGTTCGAACATAGCACAGCGCTGAGGGGATAAAGTAAAACCACTATTGTTATTGTCTTTCATTCTTCTCTCATCTAGATTTCTCCCAAATCAAGACGACTCGCCGGTCTCACCACCGCCAGGGCGAGTGAGGATCGCCGCCGTCGTAGTCCCGCCGCGGGCCGTCTTCTTCTTGGCGGCCTCCTCCTGCTTCTCCGTCTCTATGCTCTTGACGTACGCCTCGATCTGGTCGTCCGGCAGCATCTCGATCGCCTGGCCGGGCGCCATGATGGCGACCTCGATGTTCTTGGCGCCCGTCTGCACCACCTCCAGCAGGGACTTGATGGTGAGCTGGATGGTCTGTTCGCGGTCCATGTCATCCTGGTGGTTGCGTTCGAGGAACTCGCGGACGGTCTTGCTGGAGCGGCCGATGGCGTTGGCTTTCCTGTATCCATCAGGACATAATTAGCCAAGACCGTTTGACTTCCTTCTCATCCATGGCCGGTTCACCACGCAAACCAAGAAGAAAAGAGAAAGAAAGAAAAACATACCAGGCCGAATAGATTCCCGACGGCTCCGTCTGGTACAGCCGCGGCGTGCGGTCGTTGGGATCGAAGCCCACCACCAACGTACTGATGCCGAAGGGCCGCACACCTCCACTCTGCGTGTACCGCTGCTGCACCCCGGCGATGTACTTGGTGATGTATTCGATGGTGACGGGGTCCTCGACGGTCAAGCGGTGCGATTGGGCCTCCAGACGGGCCTTGTCGATCAGAATCCGGGCGTCGGCGTTCAGGCCGGCGAACGCCAGCACGGCGTGGTTATCGACCATAGCGATCTTCGATGGGGTGATCCGCGTGTCTTGGAGCTTGAGAGCCGACCGCTTCTCGCAGCCGAGCACAACCACGTCCTTGCCTTTTACGCCGACGGCGCAGGTACCTGTCCGGTTTGGGTAACATGCGTTAGTATGCTGTACGGAGTGAAAGACAGGGGCCCGTTGGGGGGGGGGGATGTCGGAAGGATGAGGTTGAGGTGTTGGCCGTAGGAAATGGCTGAGGGGAGGAGATGGAGGTACGTACCTCTCTTAACAGCTTCCATGGCATATTCCACCTGGAAGACGTGCCCGTCGGGGCTGATGACGATCGTTAAACACGGTTCTGGGAAGTAGTATCATAATCGCCATACCTGAATACTGTTATTAATTAGCAATCCATCTTCACTTGCTCCTAGTCCCCTCGGGTCGATGATGTAGGAGCTTCAGCTAAGCTAGGTTCGGTCGGATCTGGCTTACCTGAAAGAGCTCGATCGTAGCCAGACATGATGGGCAACAAGCACTGGAGGCAAGATTATCGGATATAATGGAGGAGAAGGAGAAAAACGAATCGTGAAAAGATGCAATTAGTGGTCTGGGGTCGTAAAGAGCTGGCTGAGGGTCTCCGGCCTGGGCGATGACAGATGGAGGTGGACGCGAGTCCCGCCGCTGCCTTCAGAGCTCCCAAGCGCTAGGCGCGCGGCTAGCCGGACTATGACGCTTACCTCCGTTGCCTGAGCCGGCATCAACACAGCAGCCCTCAATGTTCGTGACAACAATCTTTTATAAGTTTCATGACCTGGAATCATTCCTACTGACTCGCTAGACTGCAGGTCACTGTACTACAGGTCACCACAGATAATCGAACGATCGAGCAGACTTTTAAATCATCAATATGTAGAGAACAATAAAATGACAAGACAATTATGGACATTCAGAACATTCTGGTCGCACGTCACGACTCCCAATCGACCTTCGCTGGTTGAATGAAGATTTTGCTGGCTCAAAAGGAATACCCCAACCCCAACACCCCCAAGAGAGTCCGTTCCATTGTATCCCAACCCGTGTGATTCAATACCTGTGTTTCTCCAATGAACCCGCTTGTCGAAGAGCGCAGATGAATGCGGAAAACCAATAAGAAAGACAAAATCTAGAATGCAATGCCATGCTCGAGCACAATCCACATCCAGTCGGCCACCACCTCCGGCGAAGCCTACCTCGGAAGGTTTTCCCATAGCAGAAATAAACAATCGCACGAAGTGCCAGCGGATTTCACACGTGAATTCCAAAGCGTCGGAGAATCTCTGGGGGGGTAAATATAATGCCTCCCGGCCGATGAAGACGCAGCAAACTCCCGTGGACAGAAGCGTCAACCCTACCAGGACCGGCTTCTATATCCTCAAACATCGCTTTCAATGGCGCAAATAGTAAGACATACCGAAAAAAATGTCTGTGATAAGGTCTGCAACGAGACCAGGCGAAACAAAAAGGATCAAACCCGTTGAAACGACGACACGCTACCGGCCTGCTCCTCCCAACCGAATGCACCAGAACTGCAGAATTCCTTATACAAATGCGCATCAACGAATATCAACCGTCACATATACCAACATATTCCAGACCTTCATATGGACAAAAAACGTGAGGAACAACCGTAGAAAAGAAAATGACAAATGAATGCCTCCGGGCCGTTTAAGCCGGGGACTTGTTGGCACCAGCTCCGTTGCGACGAGAGTGGCCATCCTCGCCCACAGTCAATCCTCCAAGACCGGTGGAGAGAAAGGCAAAGGGGTCGCTCGCACCGTCATTGCCATAGAACGCGCCGTTGGACGCGCTCGTGGAAGTGGTATGATCCGCACCGGTGAAAGCGGCCTGAGCGGCGGGGTTAGAAAATGAAGCCGCGGAGTGGGAGGTGTTCGAGGAACCGTAGCCGGCATTCATCTGGCCCATGGGAGCGTAGCCGCTGGGGGTGCTGTTTAAGCCTGAGGGCAGGGCATAGTTGTTCGGGGGAGCACCAAACTGCTGGCTGAAGCCACCGAAGCCACCGGCCGATCCAGTGAAGCCTCCGGGAGCGGGGGTGCTCGTCATGGAGTTAGGACCCATGCCGAAGCCAGTGGGAGGGTCCATTGGGGAGGGGAAAGCCGAGTCGGCGACGACAGCAGCGCCAGACCGAGGCGCACCGCAACGGAGACAGTTGATGTTCTTAGCAAAGTTGTGGTAACCACAACCCTCGGATCCACATTTCCAGTCACCAGCACGGAATGGAACCACACCACCATTGCCGCCCATACCGCGGGAGTGGCCCATGCCGTGACCCCCGTGGCCCATGTGAGGAGGCATCATGGAAGGGGGAGCGTAGCCGTAACCGTAGCCCATCGGATCAGGGGCAGCGGCCATGGCGGGGAAGGAGCAGCGGAAACAGGCGGTGCGGCGCTGGAAGTTGGAGAAACCGCATGAAGGGCAGGTCCAGTCGCCAGGACGGGGGCGGTTCTTCGAGGGGGGGAAGGGCGTCAGGATTTCAGCAGCACGGTCGAGAACGCGGCTGGAGGAAGGAGAGACCTCAATGGCTTTTTCGTTGAGAGCACGACCGTTCATGCACAGACTTTCAGCGGCCTGGGGAATGATGATTAGACAAGCGGTGTGACATGTGCGTAATTCCCATTCTTACCTCTTCGTGAGACGAGAAGACCGCAAATCCAGTGCCGGTGGGCTTGTGCTGGTCAGGAGTGCGGAGAGTCCAGAAAGCGATAGGACGTCCACCGAACTGGGTAAACCAACTCTCCAGCTCCGACTGCGTAGTATCGTGGGGTAGACCGCTCAGGTGGAGCACCTTGCTGCGCTCGGTCAAAAACGCCCGGACATCGGCCCTGGCGTCCATAGGGCGAGTCAAGATCTCGGGATGTTCGTGCGGAGGCTGAGACTTCCGGATCAGGCCACGGAGCACCCGGGCCAGCGTAATGGCTTCTTCCATAGCTCTCCGCGGCGATGCGGGGGCCAAAGTCTGCAAGTGGAATGGGAGGTTATGCTTGATGGGGGCGGAGGACTGCACGGGTTCGACTTCGAGAGCGGCGCAGATGTTGGAGAGAGAGCTGGGGCCGAAGGGCAGAGACTCCGGGTGGTGAGTCTGCCATCGCTGATACTCGGTCCGGAGGTCGAACGTCCGCGAGTGTTGGAGGTATGCGGGGAGCACGACGGCCTTGTCACGGGCCTCACGAGGCAGCTGAACACGGAGATCCCACGAGTCCAATGTCACGAAGGCGAATTCGAGATTCTTGTTGACAAGGTGTTCCTGGGCAAAGGCGTCGAAGCGGCTGATAGCATCGCGGAATGTACCTGCGGAGCGAACATGCTCCCATGTTAAAGTTGTCAGGCTCGCTGTCGAGAAACGTCAGCCATTGAACCAACGAACCGATGTATCCGAGAGGGCAGGGAAAGGGAAAGGGAAAGGAATCGAGGCTGACGGGGAGGAGGAATTGGCGGACAAGGCTGAAGTTGATTGGGTAGACTTACTACAGAGAGGCGTGATGGGGGTGTTGACAGGCTTGACGAGTACGCTCTCATGGTGCAACTAATGGAGACGCCGAGTCAGCAAACATGATGGTTGAATTGGAGACTAGTTTTGTCCGAGTAAAGACCGGTAGGAGTGGGTTGGTTGAGGGACGGTGCAGCAACGCAGCGATCGAGCAAGGGTTATCAGAGTGAGAGGAATCCAACGAAGAGGGGCGCAGCAACGAGAAGGCTGGAATTGGACGAGAAAGACTCGAGCGAGATGAGATAAAATCAAATAAGATTCATGCGTACCTCCTCGCAGGTTTTGGTATCCAACAAGATCCACCCCAACTCAATCACCTCGGCGGAATCCTTAGTGACGTAGACGCCATGTTCATCGCAGGTGGTTGCGACGTGGATAACAATGTAGCGATCCAGCTTAGGAGTGGGAGCTGATACGGCGGCCATCGCTCAAGGTGTTGTTGGGTCGGTCACTGCCTCTCACGACAACGGAGCGGGCAGTAGGGGGGTGGTAAGTGGTGGAGAGGGGGGGGGGGGTTGTGGGAAAGAACCACGGACGGGTCGGAGAAAGGGGAGAAGGGAAGGAAAAGGGTAAAAAAAAAAACGTGTCTCTGCAAGGACCGGCAGGCGACACGATTTTCACGACTCGGGGAGAAATGACCGTCGTGGAAGGGGGGGAAAAAAAGACACGCGGGCGGGAAGAGGAGGAGGGAGAAAGAGAGGGGAGGAAGGAGGAGGACGAGAAGAGGAGAGAGAGAAAGTGAGAGAGTAAGAGTGAGAGCAAGAGTGAGAGTGAGAGAGCGATCGAGGAAGGAGGAGAGAGAGAAGGAAAAAGAAAGTCCCCAGGCCCGGATGTTGTTCTTGGTGGAGCGTTGAGATTAAAAGAAAACCTACTCCCTCGGTCTCTGGTCGCCAGTTCCTCCCTAATCATTATTTCACCACCACTACTACAAAGTGAAGTCGAGAACTGTTGCAATCCATTGAATGGGGATACTCAAATATAAAGGATTCAATTTCTCTTACTTCAATGGTGCTGCTCTACAAGGTAAACCTATTTACTAGTCGACTCGGGATGTCAAGATCGAGTCTCCTGGGGGAGGCCCCTATAACAGTCAGTTAGTCGATACATCGATGGGGGGGGTCAGTCAGTCGGGTCTTGGTTCTTTCTGCCTAGAAAAACACCCTAGTTCTGTCTGTGAGTGAATAATAATCGATTGTATGACCAATCCTTTCGGCCTTCACCACCATAACCCCCGAAGACCGTTCACATCCTCGCTGCTCCGTACATAGTACCTACCTACCTAGGCTCTTGAGGTCGATACAATTTGAATTCACTGCTATGGACACCCAACCAATGGCGATCAACCTGCCCATGCAGACTGACCGACTGTCAGAAAAAAAAAAACTGTTGAATTGCCAAAAAAAAAAAAAAAGATTAAGTTACGGAAGCCATCGTACTTCTGTCCCACGGGGACTTTCCACGGACGCGGGTAAACCTGACTGACGCCTTACTGCCTGCCTGCTTATCCGACTCGAGGATATCATTTCCCTAACGAATTGAAAGCGCACAATGTCGATATAGGATGTCGGATTCGTCCAGACAGACCTTATGACTGTCATCGAATACTGCAGTGTAAGGTATCGAAATGAAAAGTATTGATTGAAGTTAAGAGGAGAGAGAAAGAGAGAAAGAGCAAAAGACAGCCGGCATCAGCCAATGGACAAGCTACCCGGATCCACCGCCCGCCGGTCTCGCTTCCGAATCATGAATTGCATCCATATCGTACGGTAGGTACTCTTCCGTCATCCATGGTCAAATGGTAGAACTATTGACTAGTCCCATTACTGTTGCAATTCCAATAGCGACTCCATGCATTGAGATAACTTCCTTCCCGGTCTTTCACAAATCCCTATAGGAATAAAGGGTCCCTTTGAATATATTCTTGATTGGGGCATACCCTTGACCCTGTATCACATACTCACTGGCTACAGCGTCAGTACCAGCGAGCGGGACGCTCCAAGTATACGTGTAACCATCCTGAGACTGAGTCGCTTCTCCGATAGAGGTCCAGGTCCAATCCGCATTGGCTTTGCTAGTATCGTCCCAAGCGCCACTGTATTTGTAAAGGCCGGAGTAAAAGTCGTTCCCTTCAACAAGGTAGTTGACAACCTCATGCCACGCGACACCTTGAGCGTCCACGCCTGGCACCTGAATTGGCCACCCATGGACTCCGCCATAACTGGGCTGTTTGATGCCGATGAAAAGTCGCACAAATGCGTATGGGACCAAAATATCGGCTTTGTAGGTCACGGTATCACCATTCTGTTCAAAGCGCACATTGGCGATAGTACCCTCTTCCGGGAGGCTTTTCGTGCTCGCTGTGATCGTCCGCTGGCTACCTATACTGTTTGACGATAAGATCGACCGTACCTCGAAGATAATACCAGATGTTCCTGGCTCGAGCATGCCAACGGTAGCTTGGGTCAATGAAGGTGGCAGTTCTAGGACCTGTACACCGTCTTTGTACACCGCATAGCCAAGAGCATCCGCAACTGATGACCAAATGAGGGTGACAGCGCTATAGTCGGTAGAAGAGACAACCACATCACTCGGCAGACCAGCAACGTAGGAGTTGGTAACTTTAACCGGACCATCAATGAGAAGCGTACCACCCGGTACGGCCCCGATGACTGCTTGCATGTAAGCCTCGTCGGGCAGATTATCGTAGGGATTGGGTTGATCATCATTGGTAATTTCTAGCAACCCTGCATTGCGGCTCGACGCAAGGGCGGCAACACTTGCAATCTGATTCTGTGGTACCTTGTAGATGATGTGCCATATCTTTCGCGGATCCTTTGGCGTCCAATCATTAGATACAAACGAGTTTATATAAGTCTCATAGCTGCTCTCGAATGTCAACAGCGTATCCATAGTGTCTTCAAAGCATTGAGCGATTGGTGAGCCCGGATTGAGGACTGTATATACGCCGGGGTGTTTCCGCTTCGTATAATTATTGATGTATGCGTATAGATCTGCGTAAATGTTGTTGGGACCGCATTCCGGCCAGCCTTCATCAAAAAAGATACCGCCAAGACTGGTGCCATATAGCTCGAACCACTTGTCAACATCTTGTTCAATTTGCGAAGCCCAGTCTGCGAGGTCATGCGAGCCTAGTCGAGTTGTAAATTGCTGTTGACTTACGCCAAGGTAGCCAGTCCGAACATAGCCAAGAATCTTTTTGCCTTGACTGGCAGCTTGATCAATCACCGATTTCCAGGCTGTATCGACCACATAATCTGGACCGTTCAAAACATTAGCAACCAGTACGCTGACCTTCTTGGTGTCGTATGCGAGGATTCGTTCCCACGAAGACGGGTCTCCTAGGGGGTTAATATACGACGCAATAGCGATCTGCTGCCCTTCGCCGCCAGTTGCAATCGCTGCTCTGTTATCCGCTATGGCGGCAAACAGCGCCGTAGCGTGCTCTGCATATGCCGTGCCCTTAGGATGGAACGAACGGAGTACCGGGAATGGTGGTCTTATGGTGGCCTCGACGTCATCCTCAGCGGCGGCGCTAATAGCGCTCAGCAGCGAGTCGAAGTCAGCGTACTTTTCAGCGCCATCCCATTCCCACGGCGGCGAGGTGTCGACGGTCTGTGTTGTAGGGATAGACTTGTTCTGGCCGGGGAAGACAAAATCCAGCAGTTCCTGGGCGGGGTCAACGTAACCCGTCACCGCAGCCGCATTGGGGTCGCCGGGGCCTTCAGAGGGCGTGTCAAAATGGCTGTATTGCGACCAGAACCACACAGTGTATTCCGTCTGCTCTTTGGTGGCCCCGGGTTCGCAGAAGCGGTGGCCGTTGTAAGCATCTTGGAGACCTTCCACATATATGACGCCCATTCTCTGAAGATCTTGAGCTGCCGCTTTGATGACCGCGTTAACCTTGCGGGTCATATCATTAAGCTTTTGACGGAGCTCCTGGGTGAGGGGTGGCTGGTCGGTCATCCATGATGGAAAATATGCCCAGGTATAATCGTTGCATATGGGATCCAGGGCGTCGTCGAAGAAGGTGAGATACTCGAGAACAAACACTTGGAAGCTTTCCCGCGGGCTCGCGCCGCCGGCCTCCCGCCCTGCATGTGCTACTTGATACATCGCGTAGTTGACTTTATCACGAAGATTTCCGTTGTCAATATCCTGCTGGAGGGTATTGAGCGTGGTCTGGCAGTCTTCTGGAAACCACGCTCTGTAAATGCAGTCGTTCAAGATTCTATTATTCAGGCATCAGTAAGGAGCTTTACATTGTGTAGAGCAACAAATGGAGAGAATTACTTTGATAGCCCTGCGTCATTGCCTCCAATAGTCAACACAGCAAGCTGCGGTTTGCCGAATGGCTGGCCGCGTGGTCGATCCGGCTTATCTTCATAAGCACCCTGCTGCAATTGCTTGACAACCAGCTCTTGTGATGTGTCGCCAGTATAGGCGTGGAAGCTGAAACGAGGAAGAGTCTCATCCCCGTTGTTGACAAAATCCCAATTGTCCTCGTCCTGAGACATTTGCATGGGATAGGCTCGCTTCCCGCGTACGGCTTCCCCCCCCCATAATTTCATCGTTACCGTTGCAGCCTGTACCAGCGGTATACGAATCACCGAGGGCGATGAACTCTTCAATTCTCTGGTCAGGCTTTGTATAAGGCACAAACGTGGGATCGGCCAGCGCAGCAGATATGGACTGGGCAGCGGCAGAGAAGTTGATGTCATCTGCCAGGCCTGGAACGGCGAAGAAGCCCCAAAGGTAGAGATACTTCATATGCATGGTGCTATTGAATCACCCAAGTGCAAAAGAAGTCGGGAGTGGCACCTCTGGAGATATGGCGATGTGGTAAGTATTTATTATGTCTACCCTAAACCCCTTGAACAGAAACTTACAATCACTAGACCAAAATCTGAATCTTTACACATCCTCGCGTATGATGAGCCCGCCGCCAACTTGAAAGGTGATATGACGGCTACAACTACTAGACCAAAATCCGAATCTATAGCCAGCCTAGTGGGCTACCTAGTAGGCTATAGTTTGGAAACCCAACTCAGGAGGCAATATAAAAAGGCTACAATCATTATCTACGTGCTTGTACGTACGAGAAAGAGTTAATTTTATCAATTTCTGGGCACCTACTTAGAGCCTTGCCAAGACTTGTCGTAGCATTGAGGTATACAGGGTACCAAATTTTACTTGCTGTTAGCGAGATCTCTAACCGAATTCGCTCATGTTCCTGCGCCGCGTGGCGCGGACCACACACCCTAGCGGCCAGACCATCCGGAATTCCGGATGGCTCGGGAAGGCTCGTCCCCGAAACCTTGGCGGGGAAAGGGAAATCGAGGTAAAGAAATGTGTAATTATCACGATTATTGTACTTTTTGCCCTTAGTCTATTACTTGCAAAGGGCAATACTCGCTCCCTCGACCAAAGGGCTATGCACGATAGGCAGAATCCACTAATCAAATGGATACCTTACTGTTGCGCGGATTCCATATCTAGCTAAGCGACCTCCTCGCTCCAGGCGTAGGCCCGTGCAGTTCCTAATACCTTAGGACACCCAGGTCTCGACCGGAAGCTACTCAACCTACGGAGTACTAGGCAGTCATTTAACATAAAGCCAGCACTTGTTCATCGCTGCCTGAACACTTTCCCCTTCTCGCAGCAAAAGCCATTTTCAATGTCAACTATACCACCCGGTAGATGATGAAGTCGAATATTACACACTGGCTCTGTCTTTGTGTCGCCGTACTAGTCATTCAGAGCATCGCCAAACCCGTACAGCAAAAGCCTCTCGTCGGCGTGGACGTTATGGTCCAGGAAGACAAAATTCCCGGCCACAACGATGCTACATACGATATCGTGCCAAAGGAAGACCAGCTATTGAACGTCGAGTTCCTTGAGGTTGCCCCAACGCCTATTATCGCGTAAGATCCCCCTTAATATCCGCCTCTGAATAATGACGTCCTGACATCCTACAGCGACCGCGTCTTTTTCGTCTACCTGCGCGGTCGTCTATCTGGATCCAAAATGAAGGAACGAGGACTCTTTGATAAGGGCCTCGTCGATGCGACGCTCTCTGTGAGCGCCTCTGTTGTCTACCCAGATGGTAGCTACATGGAACCAAGGTCCCTTACAATGCCTTTAAAGACTGTTTCCATCAACGATGCAGCTCACTTTCTTATTCGCGATTCTAATGGTATTCAAATTGATTACCTACCCAGTAGCGGCCGCAGTGACATGTTGCTAGATTTTCAGATTCCTGCAATGTTTTTGAAGAGCGGTATGTGGACTTTTAAAGTCGACGCCAGGCTCGGAGATAAAGACAATTCATGTCTATTTGCCATGTCGTTGACACAATGGTTGGACGGGGGGCTTTGAGAAATAGTGTAATTGGAATAGTTTGCAGGCTCGATGTTCTTATCGTGTGGATTATACATGGGCATTTTACAACTGGGTCTTTCAGTGCTCTGCTCTGCGCCGGTGTCCTCTAAGCTGTCTGTTGGGCTTTCTTCTTGATCTCTGGGGTCTTCGCCCCCTCTCTTTTCTCTCGGGGGGTCTTCTAAGGCCCGGGTTCTTTTTCCCTTTCCTATCTGGGTACCAATGAGGCAGCAGCACCCCTAATCCTTCTCGCGAATTTGAGCAGGGATCCTACTTTGGGTTCAACTACGACCTCAACCGCGCTCTTAACAAACATTAAGTTTGAACCTGGTCCCAAATCCTGAGTGCATGGAGAAGAGGTTAATATGATCCATCTAGCAATTTTTCTCGTCCCAGAACTCTTTAGTACGCAGCATCATAGCTACCTCGACAGGAGAACTACGCGTCCAAGCTTATCCTGCATAGGTAGAAGCAAGATATATACATATTGTTGATTACGAACGTATTACTGATGGATCTACTTGCTCAAAGAGGAAAGCTTGATGCCTCGAGAATCGTTGAATTATTAAGGAAAGAGGAATTGGCCACGGATTTCGTGGTGTTTACATACATCCAGTTCAATTTGAAATCATGTGACTCGTTGAACCGAGGCGTTACACGCACAAGCCGATAGATACATATACACTGACCGAACAACACATCGGGCGCTACACATCTCTGCTTGTACCCCCTCGTTGTCTCTTATGAACCATGAAACAATTATCCATTTCCATACTCAAAGCCTGACTGTTCAGGTAAATCTTAGTCAGAGTGATGCCTAGCATTCAAACCATGATAGTAGTCAAATGTCGCGGCGGTATGCCAGGCATAATGGGTTCGTAAACGCTCGGCGAGTAAACGGGTCAATTTATTAAAAATGTGTATATAGTACTGCACTATACCGCAGAACTGAGAATTCTCACCGGCTTAATACTCACGACGGCACAAACGTGCAAATAGGGGAGCCGCCACGACCGCGCAAACGAGGCGCCTAGTCTTGCTACCGTAGGGTATTGGTTGCTACTGGATACCCTCAATATCGGGAGCAAAATACCTTCGCTCACACACACTGGGGCGAGACAAGGCAATATCTTGAAAGGTTACATTCATCCTCGTTTCTCGAGCCTGGATAGCCATCGTGTAGTTGGATATTAGGAGCCTTCAAGGATGCCAAGCTGGAATTCCGGCTTCGCTCCGGTATGTTTATTGCATGTTGAAGTGATAGGTGACGGCGGTCCTGCGGCCTCGCCTAGCTTCCTCTGAGCTAGTTCTAGTTCGACAGCTAGCCTCACGTAGTGAGAATCAAAGCATCTTCCACCTTTCGAGCAGGTGTCACCACTAGGGTAAGGAAATGAGATACTATACTATTATGTACTAATAAGAGACCAAGAAGATAGTACAGGGTCTATATATATTAATATAAAGTAGCGAACGGCTGTCGGAGGTTCACGGCTGGAAATTACCTGACATCGACCAAGTCTCGCGCCACCCTAAGACCTTCTCAGGGTCTCAGGCTCAAGGGTTTAGTGAGCGATCGGTGCGTAACATAATCGTTAAGCTGGCCGGCCGGCTATGTAAGCCAGCCGGCCACCTACATATCACATATAAAATTAGGCCTAGGAATGGTCCGGTCCCAGTCTTGAAATTCGAGACCGGGCCATGCGGTCTTTGGTCTTGGCTTACATTACTTCCGACGCTGGCGGACACAAGCAAATTTAGGGACTGTGAGATGAATGGTCCACCAACTCACCAGAGCTTTCAGGATCACTGCTCCCAGCATATCCGGGATAAGACTATCCGCTTCACCCGCAATTCAGAAACTCATCTACACAAGTAGAGAACCAAAAAGGTCACCTGAAACATTTTCACTGTTCAAACATTACATTATTTACACTCGTCACCGAAAAAAAAATAGAAATAGGAAAAAAGAAGAAAAGCACTTAAGTACAAATGATAAATTCCATCAGCATGCTGATACCCAGCCAAGGAACCGCCCCCCCGCCGACGCAAATCCGAGAACGCCAATCCAACCAGACCAGAAATCAACAAATTACTCCTCGCGAATTTCCGCCTTGATCACCGTCGTGTGACTGTCCTCGTTCTCGTCTTCCTCCTCAATGATGCTCGGCTCAACCGAGAATCCTCGACGCATCGCCCCCGGCTCGATCGAGGGCCGCACGCTGCCGGACCGCACGCTCATCGATCGCACGCTCATGACATCGCTGTCGCCTTCGTCGCCTTCTCGCATCCTCACACTGGCAGGACGACCATTGGCAGCCGCTAATAGCTTGAGTATCGAGTTCTTCACCTTGACCAGGGCATTGCGGCTGGCGGCTTCGGCAGCCAGCCCCTCTTCGATCGTCTCGTCCAACAGCTCCTTGACTTCCTGAGCGAGGGCAGCGTTCTCGGGAGAGATCTCCGGCTGTGCGCTGCGCACGCTGGAACGCAATGGGTCCTCGCCTTCGGGAGCACGAGATCCCGAGCGTGAGGGAACCACAGGTGCTGTAATGTAGAGTTTGCTGAGAAGGGAGAAGAGAAGCTTCTTCTCTTCCTTCGAGCAGCGATTGGTGCCTGTGCTGATCCCCAGCACTCGCTCGAGGATATCCTTCACCAGCTCCAGATGAAGGAAGCCACATGCCGTCGAGCTAGTCGGTTGGCCCGCAAGGACCTTCTCTCCACCCAAACCAATGACTCTCCGCTCATCGGTCCATTCCGCCAACATGCCCAGGACACCGCTCATGAGGGCCTTCAGCTCTCTTTGTCCGACTGTCTCGTCAATATCGCCATCGCTGTCTTCCTCAGCTTCCAGCGAGTAGTACTCTTCGGCGGCGTTCAATGTCGCCCGAACGACCGGCACGGCCACTCTGCGCATGTACTGTGCGTTTTCCAGTCGAGAATGGCAGTAGACGGGGAAGAAATAGGCCAGGGCCTGTCGAAGTGCTGGGTTATCACGCGTGCGCGGGTGGAAGAAGGAAACAACAAGTGACTGCAGAAGTGTCTCGATAGCAGCCTGGTTGTACTCCTGAATGGCCGGCGGCACATTGGCTCCGCCGGGGTTGAAAGCGCTTGTAAGTAGTAATTTGGAAAGGGCAGTGGCGGCGGCCGTCTGCACGCTGTTCGGGGAGCTGGACTTCAATGCCCTGGCAAAGACTTTCAGCAACGGCTTTTGGAAGACCGGCGGTATTACCGTCTCTCCATCGGCTTGAGTCACGGGCGTGAGCAAGGTGGGATGCGTAGCCAGCATGTCGCAAAGGATGTGAATGGCAGTGACTTGCAGCAGTTCGTGCCCTTTGCTGTAACAGTGAATAAACAAAGTCATGTTCTCTTCCGCCAGGGTCTGCATGCACTTATTAGCTAGGTTTATCGCAGGTATGCAAAAAGAAAAACTTACCTTGTCCAGCAAGCAACAAAGTCCCAGGCACTCGAGACCTCTCTCACGAATCGGAGCCTCGTGACTTCGTACGGCAGGGACAACCAGGTTATTCAACATGGTTACTAAGTTCATATTGGCCTGAAGATTTCCTTCGACATTCTGCAGCATGCAGAGGGCAATATGAAGACACTTCATATTCACCACAATCTCGCGAAGAACCTTCGCCTTGGCCTCCTCTTTGTTGAAAGGCTTCTCATCTTCGGTTTGGGGCGTCTCCGATCGGGCGCGAGACGAACTGGCATCGCTGATTTCCGACTTAGCAGAAACAAAGCTGTCCTCCGTAGTGATTGTGTCGTGCACCTCGGCAATAGCTTCAAGAACAACACTGCAGAATTCGTTCTCAGCAGCAGCATTCGGTCCACAGACAAACCGCAATGTTTCGACTGTAAGTTTGGTGCACTCCTCAGGCAAGTCCGGCACGGCCAAAGACTCGCGCAAGAGAGAGTACATCTTTCGACGGCCAACTTCATCACTGTAGTCGAGAGTCATAGCAATATGCAGCAGCTGCTCCACGATAAATTCGTTCTCAACGGCATCGTCCTCGTTGGCATCGCCGGCCTCTTTGACGGACTTCTTCTTCTGCAGAAGGCTAGTCATGTATTTGTGTAGATAGAATGCCAGCGCCGTAACTTCGGGTATCTTCTCATCGGCAAGTTTGTCATACTTGCCCTCGTTCTCGACGCGACAGAAGTCGTTGAATGAGCGGATGAGGAAAGCAGATTCTGCCGTCAGAGATTCCCAGAAGGGCTCGTCGAAGACCACGGCTTCTCGGTAATCGGGGCGCCCTTCCCAGAAGCCACGCATAGCTTCATGAGCAATCCCCGACTCCACACCGGAGTTGACCACATCGATTCTCTCCAACAGCTCCAGAAGCGCCGAGGTGTCGGGAGGAGAACGCTGGCCCACGGGTCCAGCTTCGGGATCCTTGTTAGTACCGGCGCAGTCCTCGATCCACCGATCGTAGAACAACTTGCCCGTCGCTTTTCTGACGCTTTCGTCACGATCGCGCAGGCCCCAGCGCAGCAACTTTTCTCGCATTGACAGTGACAAATGTCGGAAATCGCCGAGGCTAGGGAGTAGACGCGCATACACGGCTCGTCTGGTCGGTGCGTCGAGATCGCGGGCTCGTTCGAGGAGATACTTGAGGGTGGCTGGGACCAGCGGTAGGTTGATGAGCAGCGTCTTCCGCACGTCGGCACTGGTATCATTCTGCATAATATCGACCAATTTCTCCAGGATGGCTCGGGAACTCTCATCGTTATCGTCGTCGTCATCGTCATTGCCGGCGAGTCGGCCCAGTCCCATCACCGCCTGCACTCTGACAGCAGGTTCCTTGTCGCGGATGCGCTTCAGGAGGCCGTGGCGGATAGCGTGATACTGGTCGTCATCGATCGTTTCAAGCGAGTTGACGATATGCGCGACGATCTGCGTCGCGCGAAACCGAACGGTCTTGTCCTTCGCGACCAACAGGGGTATGATGAGGTTGACCAAGGTCGTGGTCAAGCGGGCAGTCGGGGTCTCTGTTACA